AAAGTGTTCTTGTAGTTTATTTTTGGAAATTATTTAGGGGAGCTTCCCATAAAAATTGCATTATTTTCAACTTCATGGAAGAGCTAAAATGTAAATAATACTCCTTAGGTTTCAACATTCAAATATTTGCCTACTGTGTATTTCTAGTTTATGAATATTTTGCAGGCTGCTGTCATAACTGTTCAAATATGTTAGTATTGTCTGAAATAACCTAACAGCGTAAAGGTCTGAAATAGAGCCACATTTCTGACTCCATTTAAATACTGGCAAAAATGATCAACAAACCTATCTGGAGTAGAGTGATCACTGAATTGAATTGAATTGAATAAATGAATGAATGAATGAATGAATGAATGAATGAATGAATTGCACATTGTTTGTTTGCACTCTAGCAACCAGGCTCAATATAATGTTAAACACATGTTTACTTTTAGTACATGAGTTTTTGTTTTTTGTTTTAAATCAAATAACATCGGCTCACAGGACTAGTATTTATGGATACTGCAGATGTGGAGGAAGAATGCAGCGCCGTCTTAAGAGATCTCTTTGGGGAAAATATTCCTGTCCTTTCTAAATGAATCCAAACCTATCAAAGGAAATTCTTTCCTGGGGACTGGAGCAGAGGAAGTAGTTACATAACCCTCTAGGGCCTCTGGTATCACACACCCTGGCTCCTAGTATTACTTCTTTTAAAATCTGAATTTTAAATACAAGATAAAGTCAAATGGTTCACAAGTATATCTGATCTCTGCTCCGGTTGTCCGGTCACGACCTAAGGGTGGAAATAGATAGCCAGTTCCCTGAACTATTTCTTCCTCTTTTTTTTATCTATAAAGGGGAAGGAAATAGCAACTAACATAGAAATAGGCTTCTCTTTACTTCATTGTTCTCTGCTGCTATTGAACGGATTTTCTGTAGGCTGGTAATAATTAGCTTTATTTAGGCTAAAGTGTGGAAAAGCAAAGACGTTGTACTTTAGGATTTGCTTTAATAACCTGTTTTTTTCAATATCAGGAGTGGAGAACGATGGCCCCTTTATGACTTGTGGACTTCAACTCCCAGAATTTCTGAGCCAAGCCCACCCCTGTTCTATAGGGTTCTTTATGTGTGAATGGTTGCATTTTATAAGATAGCTAAATCGTGCTTTAGATGCATTTAGTCAGCCTGTTCAAGTACATACCTTTGTAGAATTGGTCTCTCTCTCTCCCTCCCTCCCTCTCCCTACAATGTTTACAAAGGACATTGGGTCTGAGTGACAGATTTCTTGTTAATTTGCAAGGAATCCGTGTATTTATGGCTTCCTCTTGGCTAAAATGGTAAAAATGTTATCTTCATCAAATAAGTTGAATCAGCAAAAGAAAGAAGGGGAATGGTTGCAGAGAAACCAGGTTTGGTTTTGGGGTGAAATGAATTACGAATTTGATGCTGGAATACTTGGTAAGTCTTTCCTGTTGAGTGTTTCCCTACACTCATAAATACCTTGTTCCTTAATGCTTAGCACATGCCTCCAGAGCTGCTATACAGTGTTAAATGGGTGCACCTGAAGATAGTAGTATGAAATTTAGCAGATTCTACTAAGTTTGCTGTCCATGTACCTCTCACGTAGAAGAGAGCAAGGTGCTGAGTTGAATTTGCAATATTCTGAAATAGAATGGTTGAAAATTATGTGTATGAGAGAAATATTACACGCACAAATATATATAGCTAGCATAAAATGTGACAGAATGAATGAAACCTAATACTGTAGCCCTTCTGATGTGTGAGTCCTAAGCCAAGAATAGCCAACTCCTTGTGTTGTGGGAACATCTGACTGTCCTATCTCGGAAAGCTAAAGGTCAGATAATACCAGAGTTATACCTGGATAGATATCTAAATAAGAAACCTTTGGATAGCCAATAATGCAATGACAAACCACTTTTGTATTGAGGTGAAGAAAACTAATAAGGCCTTCATTAAATTACCTCACGTCAAGTCTGCTCAAAAACCCTGATGTTTGGGAAATTAAAAAGGCTATTGGAAAAGAAAACCAAAGACTTGGTGTCTGAATATTATCACTGATGATACAACCAGATCCTTATAAGAGTTCAGAAGAATCAGATACTGATAGAAGACATGATGTCCATCAGGTCCAGAGGAGAATGACTGAATGACAGAACAAAATGGTGCTGTAACTAACATTTCTGAAATTGCCTTATGTGTCATAATTGCACTGTCAGAAAATCACATCATTGGATTGAAGTAGCTTTCAAAACAGTTGAGTTGTTTCTGAGGTTTTCTATCCTAGTCTTTAAAAAGATTAGATATGGGCATGGCCAAATAAACAGTAAAAATTGACTGTTGGCCACAACTATTCAATCGGCTAAAAACTTGATGGCAGAAAATTTTTTGAACTATCATTAAAGAGAAGAAAAGCCTTAAATGGGATGGTAACATTCAGCTGAGGAATTAAAAAAACAAACCTACCCTTTGGTTTGCATAGCTGCTCATTGGATTAGTCCTATCGCCAAATTATTTCTGGGACCTGAAAATTTTTGATTCAATTCTTTGGCCTCAGGTGTCTAGTTTGTCCTCAGACACGCAAATACCATGAAGAAAAGGCAGTAAAGGAGCAAGAATGAAGCAATTATACAAGAGTTGGTCTACTAGCTGCTCAGAAAAATGAATAAGCAGTCAGAAAGCCGTCTGAGGATCCAGGAATGTCCTTAGGGGTTGGACTAGGGTCGAGTTTGATGACGAAGTTAGGCTTAGGGATGAACAACTATACCTTCAGTAATCAACTTCATAGCATGCCACACAACTTCTCCAAGGCTAATCAGAAGATCTAATCTTCAAATTAAGCTCAGCTGCTCATGACTTCATAGGCAAGTCCATATGATAAGAATATGAAAGCTATTTGTCAATTCCTTCTGTCAATGCATATATTCTTAGATTGAAAGTAAGTTTACAATTCCATTTCAGCTTGGAAATGTGAAGCTGTAGAAAGAGCTTTTAAATCACTTCACGTTGTAAATATTTTTTAGTTTTCCTGCCAACCTCAATCTGTTCTCTGGGATCGCTACCCAAATAATTGAGCAATGTTATTGGCACACTTGATAAGAAAATCAAAGATTTTTTTACATGTTCCCTTTCTCCTGGCCCCTTGTACCAAGCAGTATTTTGAACAAGGGAAGGCACAGTTGAAGCAAATAAGCTGGATGTAGATGGAATAATTCTTAGATGTTGTGGTGCTGCATAACTCACTTTTTACTGTTAACCCGAATAGTAAACAAGTTCTTGATTGAATGTAACACAATGCCTTAGTTGTTCCAAGGATCAGAGTTGGTTAGTGTAATTTACATGCTATAAAAAGTGGGCATTACCTTTATTAGATGCAATATTTCCGTTTGCAAGCAGATTATTGTGTATCAAAGAGACATCATTTACTAAGTAATACTCATGAATGGTTGGAAGTTTTTTTTAATAAGACATTACTTGTGAAAATACAGAGAAACATCTGTTGAGCTTTGCTTTTAAAAGAAAGCAATTTGTCTCAAGCTTATTTCTCTGGAGGATTTCTTGCTTGTAGCACCTTTTTTAAAAATACAATTCCAAGGCAGATACCACTTGCTTTTTTCTTGGTGCTCGTCAAATGCTTTTTTTTCCTCCCATTTTGGATACTTTTTATAGTCTGTTTTAATTGTTTTGAATAACTACTCTGTTCCGGTGAGTTTTGTGTACTTTGTACATTATGTACTTTTCCTTTGTAATTTTTGTTTTGTTTTAATATCCTTTGTTCTAATTTTCAGTAGGTTCGTAGAATGTCCTGTTATTGGGCAGATTAAAGTGTATATAACAAATACAGATAGTCCTCAATTTGCAACCAAAATTTCCATTCCTAAGCAAGATAGTTGTTAAGTGAGTTTTGTCCCATTTTATGACATGTCTTGCCACAGATAAGTGAAACAAGGCCGTTGTTAAGTTGCTAACACAGTTGTTTAGCGAATGTGATTTCCCCATTTACTTTGCTTGTCCAAAGTTCACAAGTCATTTTTAGCTACTTTGTAACTTCAAACAGTCACTAAATAAATGGTTCTAAATCAAGAACTATCTGTAAAATGAGACGGCTGTGCCTGAGAAGCTGCCACACCTTCCTGCAAAAGCACCGTGTACATAAATTGCTCCTCACCGGATTGTAGCTATTTAACATGAGGAACATTGCAGAGCTTAATTTTACTTGGTCACGGAGTAGTAGAATTAAGTCATTCTAAAAAGCTGGGAAAAGCAGAACTGTTATCAAAAGTTAAGGGAACGCGGTGGCTCAGTGGCTAAGATGCTGAGGTTGTCGATCAGAAAAGTCGGCAGTTCGGCGGTTCGAATCCCTAGTGCTGCATAATGGAGTAAGCTCCCATTACTTGTCCCAGCTTCTGCCAGCCTAGCAGTTCAAAAGCACATAAAAAATGCAAGTAGAAAAATAGGGACCACTTTGATGGGAAGGGAACAGCGTTCCATGTACCTTGGGCATTCAGTCATGCCAGCCACATGACCCTGGAGACGTCTTCAGTCAGCTTTGTAACAGAGATGAGCACCACCCCCTAGAGCTGGAAACGACTACCGTATGTGTGAGGGGAACCTTTACCTTTAATCAAAAGTTTAAGTAATTAGACTTGGGCAATAAGTTACATTTCAGATCATTGTGCTATATAGGAGCCCTGGTGGCCCAATGGTTGGAATGAAATATTGCAGGCTAACTCTGCCCACAGCCAGGAGTTCGATCCTGACCGGCTCAAGGTTGACTCAGCCTTTCATCCTTCTGAGGTCGGTAAAATGAAGACCCAGATTGTTGGGGGAAAGAGGCTGGCAATGCAAATCTCTCAGAGAGTGCTTAAAGCACTTTTGAGTGGTATATAAGTCTTAAGTGCGAGAGCTATTACTCTACGTGCACATTTTCCACATGTAATGTTTTTAAGATTTTTGTCACAGTTACCAACTTGGAATTGGTTTTTTTCTTTTCTCTTTTTCAGAGATTGAAGCGAAAGAAGCATGCGATTGGCTGCAAGCAGCGGGATTCCCCCAGTACGTTCAGCTCTATGAGGGTAAGTAACAATGCAACTCACAGTTCTATGATGATATTCTTAATAATGGTATGATTGTGTCATTCCTACTTTACATAGAATGGGCCATAACTGTAGACGGGTTAGAAGGTCATGGTATCAATGTTAACTTCCATCTATGATCTCTGTGTATTTGACAAAATTAACATCCTGTTGTGTTAGATGACAGACTTCAGTACTGCTGATAAGGTAATCAGATTAAAGATTTTGGAATTATTTTGGAACAATACAGTGCTATTTTAATTCATGTTGTTCTTTTGCCCTTTTTACAACCCCACAGGACAACAACAAGGACTTTTTACAACCCCACAGCCCACCAAGATTATGCTGCCAAAAGTCAATAGCAATAACACTAGATAGATTAGACCATGAAATCAATTCTACGGGATGTTGAGTTTGTCTGATACAGAATCTTTCATGGCTGATTTTGTGGTATCTCTTATTCCATATAAAACATTGAATAATAGGGTTCGAAGACACTTAGAGATGCTCTAGTCCAACCTGCCCCGCCCCGTGTGCTCAAGCAGGGGACCCTGTATCATCCCAGACAAATGGCTGTCCAGATTATGGAGGTGTCTTCTTAATGTTACCTGAATTTTCTGGATTTAACAATGCTTTGGCAACTTTAAGACTTTTGGACCTCAACTTCCGGCTGAGGAATTCTAGAGCCAAAGGTATCAAACTGGAAGCCCAAGGGCCCGGGTATCACACACAGGCCACGCTCACCACAGTTCCATGAAGGGGAAAAACATCGCAATACGTCACTTGGTACCCTCTCTGTAATCCTGGTCTATGAGAAATATAGGACATCCGGGAAATAAGAGATAAAATAGAATTACACACGTTCTTTAGCAACACTTCTTATTTCTTACTTACTTACATACTAATATCGTTAGTAAATTTAAATGTATAAATTTATTTACATTTCTGTAGTCACCCATCTCACATGAGTGACTCCGAGAGGCGATCAAAGTTAAAAACACAAAGACAATATTGCACAACAAAATAACAACAAAAACAGTTTTTAAAACATTTTCTTAAACATAATCTGTGGGAGAATTCAGCCAGTTCCCCTAGCAATCTAATCACCTTACAAAGTCCAGCTTTTTATTAGATCTGAAGGGAAATTGTACTGCTAATTTTTTTCTCAGTTTAAGCTCTGTAATCTCCTGCTCCGGGTCCCCAGAAATCTCCCTTTGCCTTTTAAAAGAATAAAACTTTTTCTCTGTCTGATGGGAAGGGACTGAAGGAAACTCCTAAGTATACATGGTAAATTTCTTGCCTGAGAAAAAGTATATATTCAAATGCATACAATGTCTGGTATTTAGACTGGCAGACAGACTGCAGTATTGTGATGCTGGTTGGATGTTAACAGTAAAGTGTTCCTATTTTGGGGATAAATGAAATAGAGTTCCAAATATGATACCTACACAGATATTCCTCAACATAAGACCACAACTAAGCCCAAAATTTCTGTGATGATCCAGAGTGTAACACAAACGTAGCAAAATCCAAAACGTAAATAAATGTCCTTTAATGTCTCCAACTTGGCCCCACTGTTCAATAATTCTCAGTTGGAGATAAAATGTACTTAAAAATAGTCTTCCAAAGAAAGCAATGCAGTCAGAACTTAATGAGGAGATAGAAATAAGAAACCAAACAAACTACAATGATGAAATTTCCACAATGGACCAGGATAAGTAATTACCAAATTCAGGGAGATAACAAGGCACAGCCTGTTGGAAGGACTCCAACCAAGATAACATCAGCCCAAAATAAACACACACTTTGCTTCTAGCAACGCTATGTTATAATCGTCTCTCTTATATACTAGTCTCCCCAGCTGCAACCAATGAGAAGGATCATGGCCACTTCCTCTCTCTTAAGCCAAGTTGTTTCCTTCTCTGTTCCTCCCTGCGTGTCCTAGGATGAAGAGGGGATGGGCCTGGTTCTTCCTCTGACTGCCCAGCCAGCCTCTGCCCTTCCCCAGCCTCCTCCACAACCTCCAGAGTCACACCTCCACTCCCTGTCGGCTGTTCCTCCTCTCCCTCAGAGTCCGACTCTACCAAGGGCACGACAATTTCTGTTGCTAGGAGAGACATTTGTTAAGAGAAGTTTGCCCCATTTTACAACCTTTCTTATCAGAGTTGTTAAATGTACCATTGCAGTTGTTAAATTAGCAACACGGTCGTTAAGTGAATCTAGCTTCCCTATTGGCACTGCTTGTCGCAAAGTCATAAAATATGATCACATGACCTCCAAGACACTGCCATTGTCATCAGTACGAACCAGTTGTCAAGGGTCTGAATTTTGATCATGTAACCATGGGGATACTGCAACGGTTGTAAGTGTGAAAAATGGTCATACGTGGTGGTTTTTTTTTTTCCAGTGGCATTGTAAGTTTGAACAATCACCAAATGAACTGTTGTAAGTCGAGAACTACCTGTACATACCTAAATCTAAATATGAAAAGAGGTGTGGCACCAAAACTAGGTTTGAGAATCTTCCCTTCTTTTCCATTTGAGGTCGATCATGGTTCATGAGCGGGCAGTTTATTTTTTAAAAAAAATAATTCTGATTTCTCATTGGGGAAAAAAAAATCTACTCTTATTCTAAGGCAAGCATTGAATTCAGAACTAGGAATCCCAGAAGCTGTAAGACAAGGATTAGAAGCCAATGAAGACTAAGTCTTTCTCTTTCCCAATAATTAACCTTATAAAACTGCTGATGCCCTTAACGTAATAAGAATGAGAAGGTCATTTATTTTATGTTTTTACATTCAAGTGGCTATAGAGTAGTTTTTATTAAAGCTTTCTAGAGTGGGGATTTTCTGTGGGAGGAGAATCTGGTTTAAGGGTTATTGTGCAGATACAAAGAACAGGAAAAAATTGTGAGGGCGGAGACTGAAGCTAAGTGTTGAGTTTCCAGTCCTATCACAATTCTCTTCTATACTCATTAACTCTTTTTTTACTGTGTTTCCCCGAAAATAAGACCCTGCCTTAGAGAGAGAGAGAGAGAGAGAGAGAGATATACAGAGGTAGATAGGTAGACTGATAGATAGATAGATAGATAGATAGATAGATAGATAGATAGATAGAT